TGGAGCTGGGCGCGCGGGCAGATGTACCCGGGTCGCTAGCGAGCCGGCTTGCGCGCGCCGCGCGCGCCCAGCTCCCAGGGGGCTTAGGGGTGAGGGTAGAAGAGGTGCACCACCAGACTTTGGGACTCGTGCTGGCCAATCGGCCGGCGGCATCCCGGCCTCCCCTCGCCCGGGGTAGGGGCAAAATGACGAGAAAGTTCGGGGTTCTGGAAGAGAGCTGCGCGTCTGGAGAGCCGAGCGGCGGAGAAGGTCCAGAGGAAAGCGCCCGCCGCTCGCTCTCAGGCGGAGCAGACCCGGGGAAAGTCTCGGAACGCGCTACCGGTGCGGCCTTAAGGAGCGCCCCCACCTGCGCGCCGCCCGCGAAGTTGAGGGGGTTGGCGAGGCTGGGAGGAGGGGGCGGAGGAGGAGGGCGGGACACGGCGGGAAGCGGCTCCCAGAGAGGCCCGGCGGAGACACCGGTGCTGCTGGCTTTCTTGGCGATGCGGAGAAAAGTGGTGTCCCGCGGCCCCCGCGCCTTTCTCGAAGCCCCGCCACTGGCCTTGGGCTGGGCCGGGGACGTGCGGGTGTGGGGCAAGGTTGGAAGGGAAAGGAAAGCTATGAACTCCTTCCACCGCCGCGCCGGATTCCCTCCGGCAGCCTTCTGCAGAAGCGCAGCAAGAAAGGGAGGGAGGGAAGGCGCCAGAGATGGGGAGCGGCCGGGAAATCACGGACCCCTTTCTTGGGCTCCCCTCCAGGGCTTGCAACTTTGCGGCACTGGCTGGGATCTGTCGTCTGGGTGGTGTCTGCCCGGCGCCGCAGCCGTGGGATCCCCAAGCAAAGGAGAGGGAGAGACGTTTCAGGCAGATGAGGACTTTTTAATGTTGTTGCTATTATTGGGTGTTTTTATTGTGGACTAGAGCCACAGATGGCTGTGTGTGTGGGGCGAGGGGGAGGTTGAGAGTAGGCCATCCTGCTTTCCTGGAGGTAGTTTGAGTCCCAGACTGTACTGACTGCCACAGTGGGTCTCTGGGTAGCAATTTCCCTACCCAACTCTAACGTGCCAGGATCCTATAGACCCGTGTGAGAGGGGGTGAGAAGGGATTCTTGGCTGCGTTCTCACCGCTCCACCTCCATTCTTCCTTCTCCCCAGATGGCATGATCAACATTGACATGACTGGAGAGAAGAGGTCCTTGGATCTCCCATATCACAGCAGCTTTGCTCCCGTCTCCGCACCCCGAAACCAGACCTTCACTTACATGGGCAAGTTCTCCATTGACCCCCAGTACGCTGGTGCCAGTTGCTACCCAGAAGGCATCATCAATATTGTGAGTGCCGGCATCCTGCAAGGGGTCGCCTCCCCAGCTTCGACTACAGCCTCATCCAGCGTCGCCTCTGCCTCCCCCAACCCACTGGCCACAGGACCCCTGGGTGTGTGCACCATGTCCCAGACCCAGCCTGACCTGGACCACCTCTACTCTCCGCCGCCGCCACCTCCTCCTTATTCTGGCTGCGCAGGAGAACTCTACCAGGATCCCTCAGCGTTCCTGTCCCCAAGCACCACCTCCACCTCCTCCTCTCTGGGCTACCCACCGCCTCCTTCCTACCCATCCCCCAAGCCGACCTCGGACCCAGGTCTCTTCCCCATGATCCCAGACTACCCTGGATTTTTCCCATCGCAGTGCCAGAGAGACCTACACGGTACAGCTGGCCCAGACCGCAAGCCCTTTCCCTGTCCCCTGGATCCCTGCGAGTCCCCCCTCCGCTCACTCCACTCTCCACTATCCGCAACTTTACTCTGGGGGGCCCCAGTGTTGGGGCCACAGGGCCAGGGGCCAGTGGAGGCAGCGAGGGACCCCGGCTCCCTGGCAGCAGCTCGGCCGCCGCCGCCGCTGCTGCGTATAACCCTCACCATCTGCCCCTGCGGCCCATTCTGAGGCCTCGCAAGTACCCCAACAGGCCTAGCAAGACGCCAGTGCACGAGAGGCCCTACCCGTGCCCAGCAGAAGGCTGTGACCGGCGCTTTTCCCGGTCCGACGAGCTGACGCGGCACATCCGCATCCATACGGGGCACAAGCCCTTCCAGTGTCGGATTTGCATGCGCAACTTCAGCCGCAGTGACCACCTCACTACCCACATCCGCACGCACACTGGCGAGAAGCCCTTTGCCTGTGACTACTGCGGCCGCAAGTTTGCCAGGAGTGATGAGAGGAAGCGCCACACCAAGATCCACCTGCGACAGAAGGAGCGCAAAAGCAGTGCTCCCTCCTCGGTGCCCGCTGCTTCTACGGCTTCATGCCCTGGGGGCACGCAGGCTGGAGTGCCCCTGTGCAGCAGCAACAGCAGCACTATTGGAGGAGGGTCCCTGGCCACTTGCTCCTCTAGGACCAGGACACCTTGAGACCAGACTCAGCCTGACACACCAGCTTCTTGATGTCCCAGAGGCCCTTGGTCCACTGGAGCTGCACAACAAACACTACCACCCTCTCCTGCCCCTCTCCCCCTTCTTTGGGCAAAAGGGCCTTGGTGGAGCCCAGCACTGCCCTCTTTCCATTTAGAAGCAGGTCCTTCCTAACCGTTAGCCCACCCGAGTCTTTCTTTGGTGAGTTGACTATCACCCTAAGGTCATGGAGAGGTTCTGGCAGGAGGCTGGGTGGGGGCTCCTGGCCTAGAGGGCTGAGGCCTAACCCTGCTTTAAAGGGTGGTTTGGCTAGGTTTTGCTCCCCCTCTCTTATTTTGACCAATTACAGGTTTCTGGCTCTGAATGTCAGAGTTGATCTGAGACGTTTTCTACAGTAGGTTGGGAGATGCTGATCCCCTTCAGGTGGGGACAGCAAAGACAGAAGCAAAACTGACGTGCACTTTATGGCTTGGGATTGATTTGGGGGACGCTGTACAACGAGTAAAGCATGGTCTTTATGCTGCATTGTGTGGCCCTGGAACAGTGAATCCAAGTGTACCTAGTCCTCTCAACCCTTTAAGCAATATGTATTATAAACTCAGAGAACAGAAGTGCAATGTGACAGGAGGGACATAGCAATATCTGCTCCTTTTTGAGTTGTTTGAGAAACGTAAAGATTATTTTTGCAGTGTATATCCACTCAGATTTTGTGTATTTTTGATGTGCACTGTTCTCCAAGTTCTGAACCTTTGGGAAAAAAAAAAAGTAAAGCATTTATGATCTCTTGAAACGAGTCAGAGGTTAACTTATTTAAAAGGGGATGTACATATATTCTCTGAATCTAGGATGCATGCAATTGTGTTGGAAGTGTCCTTGGTGCCTTGTGTGATGTAGACAATGTTACAGGGTCTGCATGTAAATGGGTTGCCTTACTATGAAAAAAAAAAATCACTCCCTGGGTTTAGTATGGCTGTATATATCTGCCTATTAATATTTGGAATTTTTTTTTAGAAAGTATATTTTTGTATGCTCTGTTTTGTGACTTAAAAGTGTTACCTTTGTAGTCAAATTGCAGTTAAGAATGTAAATAATGTTGCTGAACTGACTTGTTTGGTTATTAGCTTTTAATAGTCGTGGAAACATAAATGATTTATTCTAACACAAAACCACTAACTGAGATAATGGATGGTTTATAACTATAGTGTAAATAAATACTTTTCAACAATATTTTTGCTTTAGAAATCATTTCTGAAAGATTTGCTGGTTGGGAATTTAATAGTCATACAGTGATTTTTAGTGCTTTGACCAAGCCAGGATATCCAAGTTTTCTTTGCTAGCCTTTCAACACCAGCCCTCTCACCCCAAAGCAATCTCCATTCATAATCAAACACTAGTGTTCAGGGGATTTCCCCATTACATTAGTGTAAAAGTAGGGAGGCGTTCTTTTGACTCATTGTTCCGTCCTCTATAACAGCCTATAGCTTCTCACCACTCCTGAGTGGGCTCCGGAAAATAAATACTTACAAACAAGTGCCCACTCAGAGACTACACATTTGCAACTGCTTTCAGAACCCTGACCAGGGGCAGGAACTCAGACCAAATGTGGCTTTGTGGAAAGTGTGGTGGCGTGGTCAAGCTGGGAATGACTTTCAGGTTCCTGGATTAGTCTCATGACCACAGAAAACTTTTTGAAAAGCGCTATCACCTCTTCAGATCAAAAATGCATTCAGACACTGCTGATGACAGTGTTAATGGATTGCCAAAGGAATTACCCCAGGACACATTTCTCCCTGGTTATCCCTATTGGGAAGATCATTAATCTGCCCTAGGTTTGGTGGGTTTAGAGATTACCAAAATACCCAGCTCATTAGATAAGGTAGGTGTCCACCAACCCTAAAATCTCAAAGACAATTTGTATTAAATAGGCAAATACTGTTCTCCATGGTACTGGATGATGGTTTGCAAGAGAACACTATGGGGTTCATTTTACTGCCTTTTGTAGTGATTACAAAATATAAAGCCACCCCCCCCCAAAAAAAATTGTCTTTATGAACTTATCTTTCTCTAAAATTGGGCCTAAATATTTTTCACCCACTGCTTCAGGATCCTTACACAAGTGTAACACAACACGTTGGAGTGCCCACTATTCAGCTACACTGCCCGAAAACCCTGCCGTTTGTCCTGGCTGATAATTGATGGCCTGTACTTTAGCAGAGAGAGCAATAGCTACTCCCGGAAACTACTTTTTGCCCTTACTAGCACTAGAATTTGAGTTCTAATATGTGGAAGTAATTAACCCTTTTCTTATTTCTTCCCTGTCCAAATTTCTATAACTACTAAACAGAAGTTTCTAAACTTCAGTGTCAGATTTCCTAGTGACTGGCGTTATTCTTAGATTCCTGTTTCCTTGCTTGGCCAATATTATCATCCTTGCATGGCCAATTTTGTTTAACACGTACAAAACTATGCCACATTTTGATAATTATGTTTTAAATGAAGACTTCCCTCCTACCCAAATTTCATTATATTAATATATAGCACACCTAAGTTTTATAAGATCTATGATTGTCTTGCCAAATTTTAATTTTGGAGCAACTTCAGTCAAGATAATGTAAAGTTTGCAAGACTAAAAGAGCTTTTCTAAAAAAAGTAAGATGAAATACATCTTATGATAGTCAAATCAGTTACATAATCACTTTCACATTGACATGGGCTTGGTGAAGTGAAATAATATACTGTAACGTGTTTTTTTGAGTCAACGTTATGACTTTTACTCCTTGATTTCAACATGTTAGGGGTCAATCTTTAATCGGATTTTACTTTTGGCTCGACACATTCAGTCGTTCTCACGGGTCATTTTCTTTGCTCAAGAAATAGAGTATATAAAGCTAAGTTGGTTCCTTCTTATTGCTTTATTGAATAATATTATTGATGCTTCAGCTGCTACTAGAATTCTTATTAAAAATAAACTTCTGGAGAGTAATTCCTTAAAGATCATAATGCACTCGAGATAGTTCAGTAAACATTAAAAATAGATCTATTAAACCTAAATAAGGTTTTCAATTATTAATAAACAAGCCTATTTAATTTCAATATCCTAACTGCTAATTAAATTAAGGCACACTGTTAGGTATATATTAAAAATGACTGTAGTGCTATTTTAACAGTTCAATACAATGTGTATGTGTGTGAGAAAGAATGGTCAGCATCATCACAAGTGCCTAAAGTGCCTCCACTCTAAACAATTAAACAAATTTTACAGTAAAAGGAAAGACAAGAAAATATTTAAATCCAAAGATTCTTTCCTTTGTGGATGAAAATATTTTTGTTTTCTTGCACAAGTTTATTTTTCCTTAAGTTAAATAGAAAACATATTTTCTGTTGCAGCAAAATAGTATGATTAAACATTAAATAGTTTCAGATTATGTTTTCAATCAACTGTTTCAAAGCACTCTCAAGGAAATAAACTTTAGAATCTGCAGGCCATCAGTTGTTGGTACATCATCTTACAGTATAGACCATGAAACTTTAACAGCTAGTAAAAATGTAGTCATTTGTAGCAAGTAATACTTTCCTTCTCTATTTTGCAATAATCAAGTAAGATTTACCTATAAACAATTTCAAACATGCCTTTATTTTCCATAAGTACACTGATTTTAATCCAGAAATGTAAACATCTCTGGATCTGAAGATTCAGTCTTTATATGGGGCTTAACAAATGATTTCCCTCTTTGATAGTAGATGCCTCATTGCACTAAAGGGATCAGAGGTCCCGAGTTCAGACCAGGAGAGTTACATGAGTGTTACTACCCGCATGTTAGAGTTCAATAGCAATGGGCAGAGCCCTGGATTAGAGATATATTGCTTCTTTATCAAGCTGTAGAGCCATAGCACAAGATTCAAAGTCATTTAGAAAATATGAGTGATGACAGAGTCCTCCTGGGATGCCAAGACTGAGGTACCTACAAGTGGATAATGCAAAAGGAGGAATAAAAGGTGGAAACTTTGGGAGAAGTTAAGGGATTAATGTTAAAAGGTCAGAGACCCACTCCTGTTGACAAACACATATTACTCTAAAAATAGGCTCACCATTTTCATTAATAAACAGCAATTGGTATAAACAATCCATGCAAATCAGGCTTAATAAAAAAAAATCAATTCTCATAAAGTAGTAGGTAGATAATACTCTCCATTGATATAAGTGGCCATTGATATAACCAGAAAATTAAAAAGCTTTAGAAGTATTAGACAACTTCTTACCCATGAGAGGCCATTATTGAATGTTATGCAACAGAAAAGTTAAGTGATTAGTATCATTGTGCTCATTAGTCTTTGTAGGGAAGACAACTTTTTCCCACCGTTGTTACTAAAACAGTCTATATTGCAGGAATACATGGAAACACAATAGCAGCACATGAAGTCACTCATGACTAACATTTTATGCAGAAAAGTGCGAGGTTTTTCTGCACATTTATCTTAGTAATAAGAATAGTCTTTTCTTAGTGGCTCATTAAAACAGGTCACATTTTGTGTTCACCATTAATTTATTCAGAATTTATTAGTGAACCAAAAGTTTCACTGTTCCTCTTGAACTAAATTAGAGATATCATATTGCTGTTCTGGCCTGCAACAATTTCAGTTATTCTTTTGAAAAGCACCTTAGTTTTTTTTTTTCATTCAACTTGCTTGTACTTGAGAACTTTAAAACTTTTCATAATGAAATTTGGAAAATCTTTTCTCCTTTAATATTGTGCTATTGCCAAAATGGTTAATTTAATGTCCTCCGGGTTATATTATAACATACACATTACTATCCACAATCTTAATAAGTTAACCTTAATTTTTTGCTACAATATAATTCAAAACAGGTAAGTATGTGATTGTTAACCAAACACATTCATACTGTGCTATGAAAAACACCCATTTGGTAAAGTTTTCTAAGAAAATCGTTTCCATATCTAGAACTTATTTTCAAACTGAATGCATAGAGAACTGCTTCAAACTGCTCCCAAGCTATATTGAACTACACCAGAATGTAAGCTACCGTGAACAATGTTAGTAACTCTGGAGAATATTCTTGGCGTTATGCCTGTGTCAGGATTTATAACATAGTGGCATGTCGCTTTGAGTAAACATCTTTTTTTTTTTGTAAATAATAGTAATTTCATTAAGAATTTTGCTTTTTCATTCTATCTAAAAATTTGGGAACAAATATTCCTTCACTCTGGGCCTCTGTAACCCAGTGTGCATGAAAAGGCAAAGGCACCTACTGTTTTCCTACAGGGTCCACACTTTCCACCAATAGCAAATCTCCCTTTATTACAGATATTAGAACTGGACTGCCACATGGGCAAGTCAATCAAGAGGGCTTAGACGACAGCTGGGCAAATTTTAATGTGTTTATTTCTACAATTTGTTATTAAAAGTTTGTGAAAAAAGGAATCCTATAAATAGTAATAAGGGGGAAACAATAGTGCTTCATGGCCGGAAGCAAATGGTGTCAATGTGTTTGTAAACAAGGTCAAGTTGCTCAAGACTATTAAAAGGACAAACATAAAACTAGTTACAGATAGCACAACTGTTCAAGAGGCTGGGAGTGGGGGGTTTTTGGTTCCCTAAAATGGCCAGCAGAATAATTAATTCTCAATTGCGGAGCCTGGGTCGCCAGTGCCTTCTCGCTCTCCCTATAGAAAACCACACCAGATGAAGCAAGCGCTGGCTCTCTCCTGCTAGAGGGACAGGGTTCTGAGAACAGGGCCACCAACAACACAGCTGGAACCACCAGCTCTCTGGAACATTAGGTGTGAGAGAATTTGAAACAGTCAACATTTTCCTCTACTTTTGCAGGAAAATACCGGAAGTAAATAGGGACATGGAGTTCAACAGCTGGCCAGGGGTGTTATACATTCAGTTGTTTGGAAGCATACCGATTCAGTGCCTCTGAATCTTCTGGTTAGAAAATACAGCATTACCCTACCACCTCTTATACTATGGCAAAAAAAAAAAAAGTCACTTGAGGGTAATATAGTTTTTGCATTAAAGGTGAATCTGCAACAAGAAATCTGCTCAACTCACAGATCTGGGGACTCACAGGGAAGATAAACTCTATGTGACAATTTGTCACTGAGAAACGCAGGTGTGAATTTCTTAGTGGATGCTGCCCGAGTAAACCAGATGTGGCTACTGGGCAAGGGGAGGAAAGAAGTTCTTGTCCTCTACATGCATAG